ACCTACCCCTAACAACAAACGTAAGTTAGAAGCTAAATGCTCTCCCTGAAACATCAAGGAAAAGGCAAGGATGTCCATTCCCACCACTTCCATTTAACATTATACTGAAGGCTCTAGCCAATGCAATAAGAAAAAGAAAAAAAAAAAAAACTCACTCACTGCTGTCGAGTCGGCTCTGACTCATAGTAACCCCTCCTTGAGTTTCCAAGTTAGTATCACTATGGAAGTAGATTGCCCAACCTTCCTTCTGAGGAGTGGCTGGTGGGTTTGAACCACCAGACTTCTGGTTAGCAGTCAAATGCCTTAGGCACTACACCACCAGAGCTCCCAAAGAAACAAAAGGCATCTATATACCTGAAAGAAATGAACTATCCCTTATTAATAGATGAAATGATTGTCTATGTAGAAAATCACATGGAATCTACAAAAAAAGTTTAGCAAAGTAGCAGGAAGCCAGATCAATATACAAAAATCAACTGTATTTCCATAGAATAAACAACTAGAAATTGAAAAATTTTAAAATCTTTTCTAATAGCAAGGAATATGAAATTAAGGATAAATTTAGCAAATATATGCAAGATCTACACAATGAAAAATGGAAGAGATTTTGAGAGAAATTAAAGACTTAACTATGTTGAGAGACATATGTTTATAGGACAAAAGAATCAATACAGTTACGATGTCAACTCGTTCCAAATTAATCTATAAATTAAATGAAATTCTAGTCAAAACCCCAGTAGATTTTTTTGAAAACTTAAAAGCTAGTTCTAAAACTTATATGGAAATACAAAGACCTAGCTAGTATAGTCAAACAACTGTAGTGCTTGTATACCTCATTTCAAAGACAGCTACAATATCTGAGATAGTGTATATAACAACAGACAGATCACTGGAACAGCATACAGAGTGCAGAAAGAGACCTACACATACAGTGTCAACTGATTTTCAATAAGGTGATAAGGCAATTATGTGGGGGAAAGAATAATCTTTTCAATAAATGGTGCTAGATCACACGAGAAAGCAAAAATGAACCTCAACCTTTATCTCACACAATAAAATCTTAAATAGATCATAAACCAAAAAGAGCTAAAATTATAAAACATATAGAAGGAAAAAATTTTAATGACTATGAGTTTGTCAAAGATTTCGTAGGCACGTCACTGAAAACCATAAACTATGAAAGAAAAAAAATCAATAAATTGGACTCGATAATCAAAAACTTTTGCTCTTTAAAAGAAAACTGAAGAAAATGAAAGACACATGGAAAATATTAGTCCAAGTGACTGGTAGACCATGAGATCCTCAGCCTATATGACCATGAGACCAGAAGAACAAGATGGTGCCCAGCTACCACTGTCAACCACTTGGAGGGGGATCTCTATAGGAGATCCTGGATAAAGTAGAAGAACAATGTGGAAAAAACTCAAAATCATTAAAAAAAAAAAAAAAGGATCAGATTTGCTTTTCTGATAGAGCCTGATGGAACCACTGAGACTATCGCCCCTAGCTGCCCTTCAGGTCTGGAATTGAACCCACTCCTGTAGCTTCCAGCCAAACAAAAGACAGGAGTATGAGCTGAACATTTACAATAGGTAGATACACTCCTTGGAGAGATCAATCATGGGAGAATAGGACTGTGTATGCACAGGGAGACAGCTCAGGGGGCAGGAGTGCATGGGAGGGAAGGACACAGGAAAGAGGTAACTATGGAGAGGAAGTGGGAAGAAAGCTGTTGCATTGTGGGAAACTGCAGTCAATGTCATGAGACAAAGCGTACGTGAGCTGCTGTATGGAAAATGAATCTGCTCTGTAAACTTTCACCCAAATCACAATAAAAATAAAAATTTAAAAAAAAAAGACTTTTGCTCTTTAAATACCATTATTATAAATATGAAAAATTATGTGACAGAATGGAAGAATACATACACAAAATATATATCCCACAAAGGACTTATATCTGGAATATATAAAGAACTCTTACTAACTCTGTAATAGAAAAACAATCAACCCAATATAACCAAACAGAATGAAAGACTTGACAACATTTTACCTAAGACACATGGATGGCAAATGAATATAAAACATGTTCAACATCATTAAAATCTCAATGAAATACCATTTCCACTAGGATGGCTAAAATTAAAAAGATATTAATTGATATTACTAAGTATTGGCAAGAATGTGTAAGAACTAAAACACCCAAACACTGCTATTGGGGATATAAAATGCTACAACCACATTGGCAAATTGTTTCTCAGTTTTCTAAAAAGTTAAACATACCCCTAACTACATGATACCACCATTCCAATCCTAACTTTATTTACCCAGGAGTAAAGAAAGCATATATCCATACATCCATATGAATACTTACACATGAATATCCATAACAATTTTATTTTTTACTTTATTTATAACAACCAAAGACTGGAAACAACCCAAATGCCAAACAGATGAATGGATAAACAGGTGGGGTAAATTCATACAATGAAACATCACTCAAAATAAACAGAAATGAACTATTTCTACATGTAATATAGGATAAATCACACACACACACATACACAAATTATGCTGCATGAAAGAAACCAGACAAAAAAGTACATACTGTTTGGTTTCAATTACATAAAATTCTAAAGACTGCAAATTAATTTAGAGTAACAGAAAGTAGAACAAAGATTACATGGGGATAGGGGTTGGAGAAGGGCAGAAAGGACATTTCAAAATGGCATGAGACAATTCTTAGAGGTGACCAGTACGTTTAGTATCCTCACTGTGGTGATGGTTCCATGGGTGTATACATATGCCAAAAATCATCAAACTGTACAGTTTAAATATGTTCATTTACTGTACGTAAATTATATCTTGGTAAAGCTGTAAAAAAAAAATTTTTTACTTGTCCTATGATTCGTTCCTCCATAGGTCTACATGGAAAATTGGTAAATACTTTACTAGGTGGTGCAAACCATTTGTGTTTGACTACTAGCCAAAACCCAGCCAGTGTCACCACGGAAGAAAGGTCTCGTGATCTTCTTCCACAAAACTCTACAGAGTAGTTCCACTTTGTAAAACACGGGGTCAGTATAAGCCAGAGTCTCCTCTACAACAACAGGTTTTGTGCTGTTTTTATGGTGAAAATGCCAAATCATATGTTTTCTGACTGGGACTATGTGATGTTTTGCTCCAGAAAAATACACTGCAAAAGGTAAATTCCATATCCAAACAGATTGCCTTGGAGTTGATTCTTACAGCAACCCTATAGGACAGAGTAAGATTGCCTCAAAGGGTTTCCAACACAGTAAATATTCACGGAAACAGACTGCCACATCTTCCTTCCACAAAGCAGCCTCAAACTGCCAACCTTCTGGTTAGCAGCCAAGCACTTAACTATTGTGTCACCAAGGCACCTGCCAAAGATAACACTGAGGGTAAAATGGTAGAGATCTGGAGGTTAGGGGATTCCTTCAGGCCTGCTTAAATCTTCTATAATTAAAAACTGCATAAATGGTATTTATAAAATAAAATGAACATCATCAATGTCACTGAATTAAACATGTTAAAAAAAATGTTAAATTTGCAAATGCTTTGTTGTATTTATTTTTACAACAAAAACAACTACATACAATGCTCTCACTGCATGGGAGTGACCAGATGTAGGGAAGGGAGAAAACCTAAAGACTTACTCAACTTGTCATTCTCACATTAAGAGTGCTCTAAATGGTTTGTCTGTTTTGTAAATGACTTACCTAGAGATGCTTTTTGGTCTCGGAATGTGAATATTAATGGATGGTACTTCTAATTCTGTAGAAAATTCATGTTCTGTGGTAACTTCCAACCATAAAAATTCAAAGAACAAAAACTATTAAGCATCTCAAGAAAACATTTTAACATACCATTCATGTCTTATTCATGAGAGATAAAAACTATCTGACCTTTTTGCATCTCCTCCAGTTCTGATTTTCCAAATGAAGTATCAGCTCTATTTGTTTGCTACAAATAAATATAGATACATAAATAGAGAGAAATTTATAGATACACATTTAGTTACAGTACTCCTGCAGCTCCTTTTTGAAATTCTTTTGGGGCCACTTTGCACATGTTACGGGAGCTCTGTTGGCGTTGGGCTTAAGGTCTTTGACTGCTAACCAGAAAGCTGCCAGTTCAAACCCACCAGCTGCTCCTCAGAAGACTGGGCAATCTACTTCCATAGCGATACTGCCTCAGAAACCCAAGGAGGGGAAGCTTAGTCAGAAACAACTCGATGGCAGTGAGCTTTGCATATGTTAAGAAAAGCATTTCCACTCTAAAATACCAGCCTCTTTATTCATCAAACTTGGCTCCAAATGACTTGATTGTTCCAAAAAATTCATGTATTCCCTCAAAAAAAAATTTGTCATGATCAAATATCATCTCAGAATTTGTCCCCTTTACTAAGGGAGATGCCTGAAGGAGGCACAAAAAATATTTTCAACAGTATCAGTATTGTTGGGGTAAGTGTACAACTTCCCACGGAGACTACTATGTTCCTTCTCTAAAAACTATGACACTATCATCTCCTTTCTGCATAGTGTACCCATGTAATCAAATGTAGGAAAATAAGGAATAGACTAAGTACCTACATATGCCAAGCCCTGTGCTATGTGCTTTATGTACATTTTTGTTTAATCCTTACAGGGCTATATCTGTGAAATAGCGATTACTTCCACTTTATAGTCTCCAAACCCTAGGCCCCTTTCCCTGTATCTCAGTATCTAGATCCCAAATGATGGAATGAGGTAGAGGCCAGCCAAGCCAACCAGTACATAGGAGAGCCAAGTTGAGATAAAGGAGAGAATACTATATACCAGACTGGGAAAACTATCTAAAGGAGGGAATGGTCAAAGAATAAAAAGAAAGATGGTCTAATAGGAAAAACTGGGAAAGCACCCAGGAGAGGCGGCTTTCATCTGTCTACCTCTTAGTGAGTGCAGTTCAGAACCTTGCCCCCAACTCCCTGTACTCACAGCTGGCTCATCCAGGTCATCATGGCGAAGAGTTAGCAGGCAGCGATCCGGTTCTAAATTCATGAATTCATCCACGTTGGGGGATTCATCTATCATCTCAACTATATACATTAAAAAGGAGCATTACAGAACATTAATAACCGTGCCCCATGCCAGCACACTCTCTAATTGCTCTTTGTGGGTTGCACATGGCTGATATACACCCATCAGTAAGAGTTGGTAATAAGGCTCTACTTCAAATCTAAAATCAGAAACCCATGGGAAATTCCTAGGTGGAAAACCACCTAGGAATTCAACTCATAAGACATACATGATTTATCTAGTAAGGCAGGGCTAAGCTCTGTGGGCAGGTGAGGGAAGCCCTTCTTGTGATGACTTAAGGAGTATTTGGCAGGACCCATCTCTCCCTTCGCCCACCATTTTATTCCTTTGTCATTTCCAACTGACCCACAAGAGAGATTTTAGCAGGTGGGGAAAATGATTCAAGGCTACTAGCTGCTTTTGTTTCTTCAAAGAAAATACATTTATTACTCTTATATGCCCATAGGTTTTTGGTAAACTCTTCCAGGTAAGGTTTTTTATTTGTTTTTAAAGGGAATTCAAAGGAAGAATTTTATTATTTCCCGATACATCTCTTTCTTCATAGTTAATAGTAATCTGTCTTCTTTTTCAAACTTACCAATAAATTCTGAAGAAATTTCATTTTTATCAGGCAAAATCTGAAATGTAAGCCAAAACCACATTTTAAAAACAGTAATCATATATATATAAACACATACACATACACACAAATATGTATGTGTGTTGTATGTGTCTATATGTGTCTGTCTATGTATATATCTGTATATGTACACACACACACACCCCCACACAGACAGACACTCTATGGGTTGTACAAATGGTTAATATATTTAGCTGCTAACCAAAAGGGTGAAATTCCATCCAAAGGTGCCTCAGAAGAAAGGCCTGGCAATCTACTGCCCAAAAAACAGCCACTGAAAACCCCATGGAGCACAGTTCTACTCTGACACATGAGGTCACCATGAAACAGAGTTGACTCAACAGCAACTGGCACTGGTATGTATGTATCCACGTATGTGTGCAAGAAGACCTGGTGTCACAATGATTAAGCTCTTGGCTGCTAATCAAAAGGGCAATGGTTCAAACCCACCAGCAGTTCAGAAGGAGAAAAGACCTAGCAATCTGCTGTCATCAAGATAACAAAATACCCACTACCATCAAGCTGACTCAAACTCATAGTGACACTACAGGACAGAGTAGAACTGACCTATAGGATTTCCAAGGCTGTAAATCTTTATGGAAGCAGACTGCTTCATCTTTCTCCCAGGTAGCTGGTAGGTTCGAACTGCCAACCTTTTGGTTAACAACCAAGTGCTGCACCACCAGAGCCTAGGAAACCCTATGAGGCATTTCTACTCTATCCAAAAAGGGTTGCTACAAATCAGAATCAACTCATCGGCACATAACTTGTACATTATATATGTATAAATATGTGTATACTATATTATATTCTATACTGATATACTAAAAATTTTAAAGTCAGCTTTTAAAAGATGAGAAAAGTAGATTTAAAAGGACTAAGGGAGGTTTGGGAGCTCTGGTAGCATAGTGGCTAAGGCAATTCAAACCCACCAGCCACTCCTCGGAAGGAAGACGGGGCAATCTACTTCTGTAGTGATACTGCCTCGGAAACCCAAGGAGGGGTCGCTATGAGTCGGGTCCAACTCGATGGCAAACAACAACAACAACAACAACGAGGGAGGTTTACTAAGGATGGGAAGTACTATGTGTATATGTGTGTGTGTGTGTATTTATATAGATGTATAAATACATATAAACCAAACCAAGCCCACTGCCATCAAGTAGATTCTGACTCATAGTGACCCCCCAATGGGTTCCAAGGCTATAAATCTTTATGGAAGTAGATTACCTTATCTTCCTCCCATGGAGCAGCTGGTGGATTTGAACCACCAACCTTCAGGTTGGCAGCCAAATGCCTTACCCATTATGCCACCAGAGCTATATATATATATAAATATAAAACTTAAACTTCAAAACCCCGAAGATTGATAAATTAGACGTCAGTCTTCAGTTTTTCCTCTTTTGAGGGATCACTTTACTCTCTTTCCAAGGAGCTCTGATGGTATAGTGGTTAAAGCATTCAGCTACTAAGTAAAAGCTCAGTGGTTCAAACCCATCACCTCCTCCATGGGATAAAGATGAGGCAGTCTGCTTCCCTAAAGATTTACAGTCTTGGAAACCATATGGGGGTTGCTGAATCGGAATCGACTCAATGGCAATGGGTTTAGTTTCTGGTTTTACTTTCTTTCCATCCTACCCTCTCCTTCCTCCAGGAGCAACTCTGTTGCCCATTACTCTGCTCTAAACCACTCTATTTTGGCATTTAATGGCCTCTTTCCTCTGCCCAAGTACAACCTCCATGTTACCTTCTAATCCCTGCTTCACTTGCTGGGGGTCAGGTTGGCCTAACCTCTATAGATCGGCCCAACCTCTACTGAGTCTGCAGTATGTCCCCACCTGTAGGATCTCACCCCGTTGTCCACCCCGACTCCAAGGATCTCCCATTCCAGGAACTGTGACTTAAATCCCATGCAAACCCTATTTCTCACATGCAAACATTTTTATTAGCTTCACGCAATGTGTAAATACATGTAACGTTGATATTTTTCATGAGTAATGGCAAATCTATAGTTTTAGGCCAATTCATATATAATATGATGGAGGAGACTTTCATATTAAGTGACTAATTCGACTCTAATTTGGAAATGATCTTTTTCTGGGATGAGTCTTTGGAAACTATATTTGCAGAGCACTATATTATGTATGAAACACTTTCACATATCACACATGAAAAATAAAAGTCTGCCTAAGACTTTTCTCCTCAGGTCTCTGAGCTATTAACACCCTATTGTCCTCACCATTCCCCCACTATTCCATGTCTTCCTGTCACCAATTTCTTTGCCTTTCCTACCATCTGTGACAGAGAAGAGCGTCTTGCTCTTATATAAGGAGGAAGCATCATGGCAAGACTGAGACCACAGTAATCTAAAATAGGACCAGACCATTTCCACAAAATAAGAGCAATAGATAGAACTTTAAGGAGCTCTGGTGCAGCAATGCCTAAGGCATTTATTTAACTGCTAACCAGAAGGCTGGCAGTTCAAACTTACCAGCTGCTCTGTGGAAGGAAGACAGGGCAATCTATTTCCATCTTAGAAACCAAATGGGGGTTGCTGTGAGTAGGAATCAACTCAATGACAGTGAGTTTCATTTTTGTTTTTTTGAGATAGAATTTTGGGGAAATTCCCTAGGAAACCCTACCCCTAATCATTCCCGTAAGTCCAAGAGAGAAGGAAGCACCAAGAATCCTACAGGGAGAATTCTCAGGATACCAGGAAGAATGAAGCAAGGAGGTAATATTTCCCCAGGAAAGTTTCCATTTGTTCACAAAAAATGGAATGAAGCATTTCAAAGCACACTACCCAACATTAAGATAGATGATATATAAAAAGGAAAAAAATGACATTCAAATCCAGAACTCTCTTATTGCACAGTATTCCAAAAAGCTCAAGGTTTCTGCTGGATCAAATGTTCCTATCAAAACCCAATAAGGAAATGTAAGAGACATGAAAACATATTAGAACATATTGAAATGATCAGAAAGAATTAAACCTGTCACCTGATTCTCTTTTCCTAAAATTTTAATGGAAACTTCTGATATGTTGAATTTCAAATCAAAATGGATTTCTGTTCTCATCACTTCCTTTTTGCTGATGATTACAGGCTTCTTTAGGTAAATAACGAGCATGTTCATCTTCTTAGTTTCTACCAAAAAAGGAAACATATCAATGCAAATCAATATATTGTAAGGTTTTATTTTAAATTTATAATTTTTAAAATTTATAATCTTAAATAACTGCACTGAGATTTCTGTCAACTACACAAAGGTTTCTTCAACGAGAAGGTAAAAATAACTCATATTAAATAAAATTATTTATAGTATATAAGTGGTTGATGTTAGAGAAACAAAGTTAAGAAAATAACTTACCTAAACCAGCAAAGCAATGGAGATAGGCTCAACTCTGTACTATTTTTCAAGACCACTTTGTGAGTAGAAAGCTATCATCTCCAACAAGTATTGTTTTTCCCAATATATTAAGCACAATAGTCACTTTCATTGTCTGTCTGCTTCTCTCTCTGCTTGCTTCTCTCCCTCTCCCCACCTTTATCCCTAAGAGTGGTATTTATTTCTGTAATTCAAAATAAAATTCACTTTCCAATATGCACAAAATAGAAATAATTTGTCTCTTGGACTCTGCTTGAAGAGGAGAAATAGCAACTTGTTTCTCAGACAATAGCGTGCTTGAGGATTTCCTACCAAGACATCAGCCCTTTACTGACAAGCAGTAATTAAGCTTTAGAAGAGAAATCACTTAGATCGTAATTCAGAGATCCATGAATAAGCCACAACAAATACAAGCTACATTAGAAGCAGCAAGAGAGGAGTAAAAGTTCACAAAAGAGTAGGCAAAGTTTAAATAAATACCCAATACCACTGAAACTATTCTGACTCATAGTAACCCTTTGTCTAGGACAAATATGAACTGCCCCCTAAGGTGTTCAAGGCTATAAATCTTTATGGAAGCAGATTGCCACATATGGCTGGTGGGTCCGAACCATAGACTTTTTGGTTAGCAGGTAAAGGCTTTAATCACTATGTTACCAGAGTTCCTCTTGGCAAAGCTTCGAGCCACAAATTAACAAGAAGAAAGAAGAGCAAAGAATAAGTCACAATGGTTCAAGACCCGTGCTGTCCACGTTAACCACTAGCCACATGTAGCTATTGAGGACTTGAAATGTGGCGGTCCATACTGAGATGTGTTTTACGTAAGTATAAAAAAAGACAGAAACAATGTACCATTTGTCATTAATAACTTTTATATTAATAATGTTAAAATGTAAACATTTTGGTTATATTGGGCTAAATATATTAAAATGACTTTTCCTTTTTACATTTTTAATGTGGTTACTAGAAAATTTTAAATTTTAACTTCAAATGGAATCATGGTTCATAGTGGATGGTTTAGGGATCATGCATTTGAGTATGACTTCTGCCCCTTTCAAACTGTGGGATATTATGCCAGGTCACTTAAATACGTCTATTGATTGCTATAGGACAGCACATTGCAGGGAAAGTATATAGAACCACGGCTACAACAAAAGTCATTGTGAACAATATCTGAAAAGGCAACTAGCTAGTTAGGCAGGCAGGATCACAGTAAACAAAAGGTTCAGAAGAAACAGCCTGACAGCTGCACCAATTCTCCACCATGCTGCTATTGTTGGTTGCTCTCAAGTCTACTCCAACTCATAGTGACCCAATATGTGCAAAATAGAAGTGGGCTTCACAGGGATTCAATGGCTGATTTTTTCAGAAATAAATTATCAGACCTTTCTTCCAAGATGCCTCTGGGTAGACTTGAACCTCCAACCTTCCCATTATCAGATGAGTGTGTTAACTACGTGTGCCATCCAGGGACTCCTTTGTTAATACATGTTGTTGTTCCAGAAAAGAAAAACCAAACTCACTGCTGTCAAGTTGATTCAACTCATAGTGACCCCACCTTGGGTTACCGAAGCAGTATCACTACAGAAATAGATTGCTCAATCTTCCTTCCAAGGAGTAGCTGGTGAGTTGCCAGCCTTCTAGTCTGCAGTCAAATGCCTGAGGCACTATGCCGCCAGAGCACCCCATGTGTATTGTTGTTGTTGTTATGTGCCTGTCAAGTCGGCCCCAACTCATAGCAACCCCTCCTTGGATTTCCAAGTCAGTATCACTACGGAAGTAGATTGACTAACCTTCCTTCTGAGGAGTGCCTGGTGGATATTAACCACCAGCCTTCTGGTTAGCAGTCAAGTGCCTTAGGCACTATGCTACCAGAGCTCCCCATGTAAATTAGTTGCCTTCAAATCAATTCTGACTCATGACAACCCCAGTGTAGAACTGTTCCATAGGGTTCTCAAGGCTGTGACCTTTCAGAAGCAGGTTGCCAAGTTTGTCTTCCAAGGTGCCTCTGGATGGGTTAAAACTGCCAACCTTTTGGCCAGTAGTCAAGAGCTTAGACGTCTGCATCACACAGGGACTCCACAGAGTTAAATATCAATGGCATTTTACGTATCTTAAATTAATACTAACAGGTAATTGCAACATAATTTAGTGATTACATTTGATTTATATTTCTCATGCATTGTTTATAAATCCCTTTCCTCCACTACAGATAAGAGGCACTTCCAATTCAATGTACATTATCTTTCCAATTCTTTGATTACATGATTGCTGGCTTCCCCCTCCTCTTCCATCTCTCAGTTCTCTCAACTCCCAGCCAGCTCAGATGCCAACAGCTATACTGCCAAAATCTAGTTTTCTATTCTTCCCTGTGGGAGCTCTGGTAGCATAGTGGCTAAGACACTTGCCTGCTAACCAGACGGCTGGCGGTTCAAACCCACCAGCCACTCCTCGGAAGGAAGGTTGGGCAATCCTACTTCCGTAGTGATACTGCCTCGGAAACCCAAGGAGGGGTTGCTATGAGTCGGGCCGACTCCACGGCACATAACAACAACAATTCTTCCCTGTTGTTTCCATTCCCCTGAGGCTTCACCATGAAATCCTCTCCTCCCCTGCCACCGGCTTTGCTTCCTAATCTACTTGCAATCTCAAATTCCAGGCTTTTCTAATAATCTCCAAAAGGAGGAACTCAAAATTCCTGCACACTAGACCAAATTCTCACAGGCACTGAAAATCACCATATGGGGTGAAACTGTGAAAGGCAATGAAATGAACCAAAAAGTTAATGGGAGTCCTGTCTAGGACATCCTTCTCAGCGATCTGACATTCATTGTCTTTGAGCTATGGCACACCTCTGTAAATTACAGGGGTCCCTGGGTAGTACAAATGGGAAACAAGCTTAGCTGCTAAATGAAAGGCTGGAGGTCCAAGTCCACCCGGAGGCACCTTGGAAGAAAGCCTGATAATCTACTTCTAAAAAATCACCCAGTAAACATCCTCTGGAGCACAGTTCTATCCCGGCACACACAGGGTCACCACGAGTCAGAGTCCATTCTTGGAAACTGGTTGTTTAAATTGTAGAAAATGGATAATAATGCAACCAATTCTTGTCCATAAAAACGCAAATGAGCTATACCTCTGGAAAGCAACTGTCTAGCTTTCAACCTATTTGTAAATTCATTGCAGTGTTGTCTGTGTATGTGCGATTCTTTGAATTCTCCTTTGAAGCAATTGTAACATTTTCTTAGTTTCTTCATTAATTAATGAATTAGGAAAACATATTCAATTTATATTAAGTTCACATTTGTATATGAGTCATGATTTCACCTTTGTAAAAATTATCTCTTAATAGGGCACTAAAGCTAATTCATGTCCACCAGAGTTTCCAGCAAGGGGAACCTGGGGCTAAAGAAGGATTACCTTATCCCTCAGTAGACCCATAGAAGAACCTCGAACTGAGTTCAAGGCTAGAAAGGATTTGTTCTCCCCAGAACTTCCATAATCATGTTACAGGTCATACATCACTTTTTACCCTGGTCTCCAGGAAGCTAAGAATCTAATTTGAATCTCCAAAATAGTCATTTTACATTAGGCTTTCAGGGGGTAGACATTTTTCTTCTCTTTGATGGTTCCAATTTTCTATTTCTATTATTTTGGTGTAAAGGTATAAGCTGCCTCAAATCCTTTGTGGAAACTAGTAAGATGTAATGCTGACGTAATTACATAATATTTAGTTTTAACTCTTCAGCAAGTCCTGTTACTTAAAAAATGTTATATACACTGTTACTTTCAAAAATATCTTTCTAGGTCCCAATCAAGGAAATAAAGTGTGGTTATAGCTGAAATGCTGAACTGAGTGAACAACAAACTTGCTCCACCCAGAAAACAATCACTCCTGATTTCATGCCCCTCAGCCCTATTGTGATGGTTAATTTTACATTGCAACTTGGCTAGGCTATGGTTTCCAGTTATGAGACCAAACACAGTCCAGTTTCTGTCATGGAATAGTTATCAAAAACAAACCCAGGCCTGCAAGTTGATTCCAACTCATAGAGACCCTATAGGACATAGTCATGAGGGTTTCAAGGCTGTGAATCTTTGTGGAAGCAGACTGCCTCAACTTTCTCCCATGGAGCAGTGGGCTGGTGGGTTTAAAGCAATCGACTTTTTTTGTTGGCAGCTGAGTGCTTTAACCACTGTGCCACCAGGGATTCCCTCATGAGTAGTTACAAGTGATTAAATAATTTGGCCTTGGGTACAACAGATTATTTTCAAAACTACAATCTAATGTAGTGTCATCAATCAGTTGAGGCCATACTACAAAACTTGCCATCAAAAGGATTCCAACTCATAGTGACCCTACAGGACTGAGCAGAACTGCTCTACAGGGTTTCCAAGGCTGTAAATCTTTAGGGAAGCAAACTGCTACATCTTTCTTCTGCAGAGCGGCTGGTAGGTCTGAACCACAAACCTTTCAGTTAGCAGTTGAGCACCTACCTGTGCCCCCAGGACTCCTCTACTAGTGTTGAGTAGATCTTAAACTTAATCTTTAAAAAAGACCAGAAGGCACACAGAAATACACACAGGGGAAGACTGAGGCCATATGTGCATCAGCTATAAGCAAGAGAACCAAGGAATGCTCAGGGCTTCTGACAAGAAAGGAATCAGCACAATGAAGACCCTGACTTGGGCTGTTAGCCTCCAGAACTGTGAGAAAACATATTCTTTCAAATCACCTACCTGTGGTATTTCTATTATAGCAGTACTAGGTAACTAAGATATCTATCTACAAGCTGAGAGGAAAGATGAGTGGTGAAGGTTTAAAAGAGGGTTCAAAGCCCATTCCTGTGGTGTCCAGCCAAACAAGACAGGCATATGAGCTAAACATTTACATTAGGCAGATACACTCCTTGGAGAGATCAGTCAGGGGAGAATAGAAGGGCTGTGTATGCACAGGGAGACAGCTTGGGAGGCAGGAGTGCATAGGTAAGAAGGACACAGGGAAGGGGTAACTATAGGAAGTGGGAAGAGAGCTATTGCAGTCAATGTCATGAGACAAAGTGTATGTGTACTGCTGTATGGAAAATGAATTTGCTCTGTAAACTTTCACCCAAATCACAATAAAAATTTTTTTAAAAAAAAGGGTTCAGAGGGTTGATATTTAAATAGAGATGCCACGTGCTAACATAATCTCATTATTATCTTAACTCTGTGGGGAGAGGGAGGTCAGCTACTATAACCATTTTATAATGAGAAAATTAGGTAAATAATAATTTTTTTCTGTACCCTAAATTCACAAAACAAAGGAATCACTGAAAATGTATCCTAGCCCTAAGCAGAGCATGTGTTCCATCGTACCAAAATGTCTCCCTTCCACATCAAGGAACACTCAAACCCTGCTCTAGACTTAACTCAACCTATACTGCAGAGCTCTGCTAGCATAGTGTCTAAGGCACTTGACTGCTAACCAGAAGGCTGGCGGTTCAAACCGACCAGCCACTCCTCGGAAGGAAGGTTGGGCAACCCTACTTCCATAGTGATACTGCCTCGGAAACCCAAGGAGGGGTCACTATGAGTCAGGCCGACTCGACGGCACATAACAACAACAACAACATACTGCAGATATAAACAGAAACAATATGCAGAACTGTATGTGAGGTACTTTGAAATGTTCATCTTACCTACTACGCTGAAATTGGCCACTGCATCCTTGAAAATTCTTACCAAGTCCCACTGAGCACTCTTGGGGGGGAAAAAAATTAAGTGAAAGACATGAGCATGTATACTCACATGTCAACCATCTCAAATCACTTACATCTAATCAGGAATTATACACCATTACCTCAGCATTGTCTATATAAAATGTTACACTCTGACTTCCTAAGTTGAAATCAATCCAAAATTCCTCCAATTTTTCACTCTGTGGTTTTCTTATCTGTAAGAAATCATTTCAGCATGAATTATGTGCATAAAATTACATCAAAGGGTCAAATGAGAATTATTCCATTAAAATAAGCACTTGTGCTTTTCCTAGATCAGAGCCAACCTAAAATTATTGTCTTTCTTTATTACTTTATTCATTTCTGTAAAACAGGAGGATCTCAAAGAAATGCTTAATTTGGACTTTCTGAAGACAAGGTCCAGGAAATCTCAGCTGAGACAACATTCAGACACCTTACAAGATTTTAACCTTGAAATTAAGGTGGTTTAGGTTGAGGAACTTTTACCTGGAGGACTTTATTCCTCTAAAACTCAATGCCATCAAGTCAATTCTGACTCATAGTGACCCTATAGGACAAAGCAGAACTGCCCCCATAGGGTTTCCAAGGCTGTAAATCTTTACAGAAGTAGACTGTCTCATCTTTCTCCTATGGAGCAGCTGGTGGGCTTGAACTGCCAACATTCTGGCTAGCAGCTGAATGTTTTAACCACTGTGCCACCAGAGCTCCTTAACTCAAAAAAGGGGGTAAAAAGAAATTGCTCAGCATTAGTCTATAAAGTACAATGTCTAATGAACTAAAAAGAAGCGTGAATGGCCCCAGTTACAGCAAACAGAAGGATGCATCAACTGGAAGGAAAGAAACGAGCATATTGCCTTTTTCCACCTGTCTGGGCCTGAATAATGTTGCCCATTAATAGGGTAAAATGAGGTTAAGTTTCTATAATTGACCTCACCTGTATAGTATAAACCCTAAAATTCTTTTATCAATAGCCACAGTTAAAAACAATTCGTTGCTGTCAACTCCAATTCACAGTGACCCCCATGTGTATCAGAATAGAACTGCGCTCCACAGGGTTTTCAGTGGCTGATTTTTTGGAAGTGGATTCCAGGCCATTCCTACAAGGCCTCTGGGTGGACTTGAACTTCCAACCTTTCAGTTAGCAGCTGAATGTGTCAACTGTTTGCACCACCCAGGAACTCCAAATAGTAGTTAACAGGCCTCTAAACTTACCTGGTATGAGAGAAGACAGGAGAAAGAGATAATAAGTTTTAGGGTAGAGATCTTTAGGAGGAGAACTTAGCTTCCGTTTTAAAAAGCCCTTCTCAATAGTAAGAGTGGAAGATGACCTGACTACATAACCATAACTCTAGGCTTCATTATACACCACCCTCATGACTCCCAAGAGAAAGACATACCTCATGGCCATCAGCGAAAGCAGCGATACACGGAAATGAATAGACCCTGCAACACACCTCATGATTAAAAAACTAAAACATGATGGGCCCCAAACCAACCTAAAGGTATTCTACAAACAAGCATTTAAAACTAGGGTACGTCATTGAGTCTCTTTACAAAGCATAGCAAGGATTCTCAATGTGCAAATGGTAAGCTCCATCCTGAAGCCTGCAAGCCAGGTTTAAAGAAACCAGTTGCTATCAAGTCAGCTCCAACTCATGGTGATGCCATTTGTGTGAGAATAGACCTGTGCTCCATGAAGTTTTCAATGACTGGTCTTTGGGAACTAAACTGACAGGACTTTTTTCTGAGACACTTCTGGGTGGACTCAAGCCTCCAATGTTTCAGTGAGCAATCAAGTGTTTGTACCACCAGGGACTGCAAGCCAGGTTTACCAATACTATACTATACCTCAAACCAGCTGCTTGGCAAGTTTCTCAATAATAAGCATGAATTCAGCTTATGTTTCTCATCAAGAACTTAACTGACCCAAACAACAGAGAGGCATATAGGATGGACACTTACATCAGGTAGATACACTCCTTAGGATGATCAATCATGAGAAAACAGAAGGGCAGTGTTAGTGCAAGGAGACAGCTCAGGGGAATGCATAGGAAGGAGGACACAGGAAGAGGTTAACTACAGGGAGCAAGTGGAAGAAAGCTGTTATACAGTAGGAAACTACAGTCAATGTCATGAAACAAAACATGTATGAACTGCTATATGGAAGGAAAATGAATTTGCTCTGTGAACTTTCATCTAAATAATAAAGATTAAAAAAAGAAAAGAACTTAACTGACCCCAGTGACCTTTAAGTCTTTAGGAATTTGCTCTTCATAAAATCTGTGGGCTCCCTGGAGGATGTTGTGCTAAAAACATCCCAAATGATAAATAAATATGCTAAAAGATTTCTTGAAATCATTTTCAAACATATTCAAATGAGCCACTAGGTAGACAGGGTCTGATTTTCTGAGGTTTGTACTCAATGGACAACCCAATAGTGTTCAGTATATTACATATCTTGTATTCTTCCTAAAACAAGTTAATATATAACATTCTAGATGGTTCTTTTTAAAATATTAGACATTCTCAGAATACAACTAGTAAATAAAGCAAAGCACAGACAGACACCTTACCTTCTTTTTTGACCAAGTCTGCCATTTAGGAAATTGAGAAACAGCCTACAGTCCTTCAAAGTAAATAATAAAAAATTATTAAAAAAAAAAAAAAAAAATCAAGTCTGATTTAAATATACGCTTACCAGACTCTAGAGGCCAGTATTGCTTCTATAATTCCAAAAGCCAGATAACATCATAATGCTTCACAAGGATTCAGTTTTGTATGTTAACTAAAATAAACCTGGTACCACAAAGATCAGACTCGTGACACATTTCTGGAAGGAACCCCACTCCTCACTATGAGATTTTCTGTTGAGGAATGCTTCTGACTCCAAAACAGCTACATTTCACTGAGTTAGAAGAGTCAACAAGAGAAATGTATCTTACTGGTGATTTAGATCCTGTTGGGTAAGCAATTGCTCTAACACTTGCCCAGCACAAGCAACCAACCACCAACCCAAGAAACATTTCATCTTTGGATTCATCTGGGTGTATTGCTCAGTCAGTTCTTAACAGGAGTTCCCTGGCCTACTCCTTTCAGAGTTCTCTCTCTTTGTATACATTCTAAGAAAAAAGATTATTTTTACAGTATACCTATAACGAATAGCTGTTAGGAAAATAAATGCGATGCACCCAATATACTAAAACCAAATACAGAAACTGATCCAGGCTTTTGTTCTCTTTCATTACTGAGGGTTGGCTATTAACCATTTAAACCCTCCTCACAATTGCTGTCTAAATTCAGTACTAAACAGACATCACTAGTGTGAGTTCTTCATCGAAAAGTAGTTCAAATAAGATGCTGACATTCTGTGGGAACAATGATTTCAGAAACAGGATAACTACTTTTGTCCTATTTTCATCAAATTTCTGTAGAGCAGACAATGACACAGAGAGGAAAGAAAACTAACATCTGAGTGTCCACAACATCCCAGGCACATTTTTCTGTTAATTCTCACAATTTGGAGGTGGGTTTTATACTGATTTTATAGATGAGGAAATTCAGGCTTACCAAATCAACTAACTTGCTCAAATGCATGTATCAATAAGCAAGGCAAGTAGGACTAAACTGACGCTGGGATAATCCCAAAGCTCATGGTCTTTCTTTCCATTCATATCATATTGAATCTTGGCTAAGAACCTATATATGTAGCAATGGGCTCAAAGTCAGAGCTAATATGTTTAAAGGTTCAAATTTGAGAAAATCCTGATTATGTGGCAGTTTTGAGCACAAAAGGTTTTGTTCAACACGAACACTGCTGTGAATAATTTTATCTTCTCCTAAAAGATTCAAATCTTCATTTTAAGAACTTATTTGAAAGATGATAGAAAATGTTCTAGCTATTTTAGGGCAAAGGCTGATAGGCAACAACAACCATAATCTATTTTTGTGCTACTTGATGGCAGAGTCACAGTGAACCTGCGTGCATGAATGACCACGACAATTATTGTTCTTCCAGATAGTAGCAGCTGAATGTCTCACAACAAAACTACCCCACGATGCTACTCTGTCACTAGAGCACATGATGCCAATTTTTAGCATGACATCATTGTTCAAGCTGTTGTCTGCAAGGCTGGCATGTTCTTTCTTTCCCAAGTTTCCCTACATTTGAAGGTTCATTGAAAACTGCTACCCTCTCCATGACATTTACTATGACTGGACCCATCAAATTTACATAGTTCTTTCTCCAGTCTGAATTACCTATAAAGATGTTCTACTAGTATTATTCAAGGAGCTCTGGTGGCACAGTGCCTAAGGTATTTGACTACTAACCAGAAGGCTGGTAGTTCAATACCAACAGCTACTCTGTGGAAGGAAGACCAGGCAATCTATTTCCATAAAGATTTACTGCCTCAGAAACCCAATGGGGGTCACTATGAGTCAGAATCAACTCAATGGCAGTGGGTGTGGTTTTTTAATCTGTATATTCATATTTGGCCTACAAATATTCTGTTGGTATTATCCTCAAATTGTTTCACTTATATGTGAAACAAACACTGTCCAACTCTCTTGTTTTAGACATGTCATCAAGGGAGAACAATCACTACAGTAGAGCATCCTATTTGGTGAAGCAGAAGGCCAACAAAGACAAGGGAGGCCCTTGGTGAGGTGGACTGGCACAAAAACCACTACAAGGGGCTCAAACATGCTAGTGATTATGAGAATGATTCAGGAAAGGCATGTTTCATTCCACTGTATGTGGGTTAGGCATGTGAGGACAGAGTTGACCTAACGGCAACTAACAACAACATGCGTGAAACAGGAAGTTTAATGAAAACTCAATCACATGTAAGAAAAAAATCTTCCCCTAAACATAACAGACTGGAAAGTCCTGAGAGGATGCTTAATTACTATTGCTTAAACAAAATTTTACGTTTAGGAATCTTACCGTCTCAAAGTCTTGGTCCTTAATTTTTTGGAAAGCATTACTGATAAAATCATCTTCAAACCAGTAATGTACAAAGTAATCCCTTTTGTTTTTAGTCACCAGTCTACATAATGTTTCAGAAACAGCAACCTGCCGGTCATAATCTAGAGATTTAAAAACATGGTCAACATGGATAATTTTAGGCATAAAGAAAAAGGAATGAGCTTCACAGATTAGCACTTATTCTTAAGAAATCCCATCTTAAAAGTATTAGCAACCTGTCTTATGGTTACAAACAAGAAGATTTATCCTGGAGTGATTATTATTATTCAAATTCCATATTTAAGAAATAGCAGGAGAAAAATCTTAATAATATGTTGCACATAACATTACTTTAAACAATAAATATTTCTAGTTTTTATATTTTAGATATAGTGGAACATTTATCAAAAGCAGCTTATCAAACAGCCTTTAAAAAAAAGGATTTCTACCACAAAAATAAAATCTTAAAATAAATTATTCTATTTTTCAGCAGATAAACTAAAACTCCATGCACCAACATGTTTAAATCTCAAATAAGTGTGAGGGTACAAACCAAGATGCAGCAGGATATATATACAACTGGATAAAATTTATATAATCCTTTTTTAATTTGCAAAACAGTAATATTTTTCATTTATCGCATAGAGTAAAAGTGAAAAAAAATGGTTGAGAATGGAAAATTCCAAGCTAAGAATCACTTCTACCAATGAAGAGGGGAATGAGATCAGGGACAAGGACACTGAGGACTTTATTTATAACTCTATTTAAAAAAACAAAAAAGATCTGAAGCAAATATGGCAAAAGCTAAAACTTTACAAAGCTAATAGGTGAGTAAATTAATATGAATTATTCTATAGAGCTTTCAACATACAGAACTCTCTCCACATAAGTTAAAAAATGAAATCCTAGTTCTTATTTTCAATTTGCCCATAACTTTATTCCCAATAATTCCAAGATGCTCATAATACCTTGTATGTCCAAAATTTATTATTCTAAAATTTTAAATTCTGAACACTTCTTACCACCAACAGTCACCACTGTACTTGCAAGTTCTTTCCTGAAACATTTAGATAAATGACATTTTACTGAAATGAATATAAAAAGGCAAGTTATCATACTGGCACTAAATCTGAAAACCAACATGTACATTTTTGCCATTTTTAGTTTTATTTGGATCAGAATTTCCTCAGATGTCAGTATTACACTTTTATGGGAAAATCCTCAACCACCTTATGTATTAATGACTCAAATGGATATATTTTTTTTCACATTCTTGGGTGGTGCAAATTGTTAAGCACTGTGATACTAACCTAAAGGTTGGCAGTTCAAACACAGCCAGCAGTGCTGTGGAAGAAAAAGTGCTAACTATTTGCTTCCACAGAGACCACAACCAAGAAAACCCTATGGATCAGTTCTACCCTGTAACACATGGGGTCGCCATGAGTCAAAACAGACTCGACAGCAACAGGCTTAGGTTTTTTTATTTTTTTTTTCGGTGGAAACTAGCACTACTATACACTCTGAGGTTTTATTTCTTTTTCCATAAAGTGAATACAATGTGATGGTCTCTGAAGAGTCATCATATGTTAAGATTCTGGAGCTTTATTATTACCTCCTCAAGCCTGTGAAGACACATGCCCTTTTTGCATTCAGTGCAACATCTAGAGGAAAAGTAGTTTTAACGGCTGATCAAGTCTGGAATGTTCTGGACTTTAAGTCAATGGTAAAACTGTGGGTCTTTTCTATAAGCTGTTTGATCTGACTGAAAAATACTCAGAAACCATAATTTAGAGATGTAATGGGTTTATGTTATTACGTTATTATAATTAACAGACTTCCATTTTGTATATTCTTTGAGCACTTCAATTTAATGCTAAAAGTATGACAGTGACATTTTAAGTCAGAAATAATCAACTTCCATGTTAAGGAATACATATTGAGAAACCTTGTGATACTTCAATTTCTTGTAATAAATCAATTGCGCTGTTACTATTATATAAATCTAACACCCACTGCCATCTAGTCAATTCCGACTCCTAGTGATCCCATAGGGTTCCCAAGACTGTAAATCTTTATGGAAACATCTTTCTCCAGGGGAACAGCTGATAGGTTTGAACCATCAACATTTTGGTTAGCTGCTCAATGCCTTAACCACAGCACCACCACAGCTCCTTTACTATTGTATGTTGTTGTTGTTGTCATGTGCCATCAAGTCGGACCAGACTCATAGCGACCCTCTTTGGGTTTCCAAGGAAGTATTACTACAGAAGTAAATTGCCCAATCTTCCTTCCAAGGAGTGGCTGGTAGGTTTGAACCGCCAGGCTTCTGGTTAGCAGTCAAATGCCTTAGGCACTATGCTACCAGAGCTCCCAGGATTGATTATGCTGGAATGCATCTCCCTGGTGTTAGGTGTTCAGCTTGTAGGCCTGTCTCCTGTCTAGCTGAGAGTTAAGCCATGAGAGTGAGTTCAATTCCAGGCCTAAAGTGTTACTCAGAACCATAGTCTCAGGGGTTTCACTAGTCTGTCAGACCAGTAAGCCTGGTGTTTTTAATGATCTGGAGTTTTGTTTCCACATTTTACTATTATACAGAACCTTAAAATAGTACCCTGAGAGTTCTACTTACATAATTTTATGCTTGCAATTTTACCTTTGACTTAAAAGTCCAGAATATCCCAGAGTTTCTACAATCCACAGAAAATAAAGCAGGATGATCATGGGATTAATTTGAAAAGAGAAAAAATCAGGTCAGCTGCTCTCCAAATCTTAATATACCACTAAGAATAATGATTTCACCAATGTATTCAATAAACTTTTTTTTTTTTTAAATTCAGTAGAAAGACTGTATCCTACAACAATTAAATGAGCAAACATGATAGCAATGAGCTCCTCTCACCAGTCACCTCATTCAGGCCCTATACTACAGTAAACTGGGTCGTCTTTCCTCTCACAATCAGAACTGTGTGTCACATTATAGATGGTGTACCATGGTGATGCCTTCAAGGCTAGTTACTTGGTTAGCACAGGGCCACATGTTTAGATGCAATTTCAAAACAGGATGTTGGGCCCCTATGGAAAACAGTGTGGCAGTTCCTCAAAAAGTTAACACAGATTAACCATATGACCCAACAATTCCACTTGTAGTATATATGTCCAAAGAATTAAAGCAGTGATTCAAGTAGATACCTGTACACCAATGGTCACTGCATCATTATTCACAATAACCAGAAGAGGACATTAGGCTCAATTGGCACAACATGGTATACAAAAATACTATTGTATATCTTACTTCAGTGAGTAGCAATTGAGATCTTAAAAGCTTGCAAGTGGCCATCTAAGTGGTAACTAGTGGTCTTTTCTTGTACAGAGCAAAGAAGAGTGAACAAAATCAAAGGCACATGGACCATGAGCAACTCAACCTACATGACCCTGGGACCAGAAGAACTATATACTGCCCGGCTACCAATCCCAACCGCTCAGAATTGGAGATCCTGGATAGAGTGGGAGAAAAATGTGGAACAAAACTCCTAATCATTAAAAAGACCAGGCTTATTGGTCTGACAGAGATTAGTGAAACCCCTGAGACTATGGCTTTGAGTAACCCTTTAGGCCTAGAATTAAACTCACTCTCATGGCTTAACTCTCAGCCAAACAAGAGACAGGTCTACAAGCTAAACACTAACACCAGGGAGATGCAGTCCTTAGCATAAGCAATCACAGGAGATCAGAAGGGCAGCATTTGCACAAGGAGAAAGGTAGGGAGGCAGGAACACATAGGCAAGAAGGACACAGGGAAAGAGTAACAACAGGAAGGAAACAGGAGGTGAGACGTTACATGGTGAGGAATGGAACCAGTATCACAAAAAAAAAAGTGTATATGAACTGCTGAATGTCAAACGAATCTGCTTTGTAAAATCTCACCCAAATCACAATAAAAAGTTAAAAAAAAAACACACAAAAGGTGGAAACGATCCAAGTGTCCATCAACAGATGGATAGATAAACATGGATAAACAAAATGTGGTATATATCCATACAAGAGGACATTATTCAGTCATAAAGAAAAATGAAGTTCTGATATATGCTACAACATGGATAAACCTTGAAAACTTTTATGCTGAGTGAAATAAGGCAGACACAAAAGGACAAATATTATCTGATCGCACTTACATAAATTATCTAGAATAGCCAAATGCATAGACAAAAGTTTATTAGTGGTTACCAGGGACTAGCGGGAGGGGAATGGGAAGTTATTGCTGAAGGGATTTCTGTTTGGGGTGATGAAAATGTCATGCAAATAAATTGTGTTGATGGTTGCACAACATTGTAAATGCAATGACTACCAGTCAAATGGACACTCAAAAATGGTTAAAATAGAGTATTTTATGTTACATATATTTAGGTCTATAGAGCCCTGATGATGCTAATAGTTAAGTGCTTGGCTGCTAACAGAAAGGTTGGTGGTTAAAACTCACCCTGTGGCTCTGAGGGAGAAAGACCTGGTGATTTGCTTCTATTACAGCCAAGAAAACCCTATGGGGCAGGTCTACTCTGTCCTGTAAGGTCACAGTGAATTGGAATTGATTCGATAGCAGTGAGTTTGTGGTTTGTACATCACATAACTGAATATAAGGTCACTTACGTAAAAGGACGCGTGGCTTCTAACAAAAGGAGTTTTTTTTTCTCTTCAGGTGGTATAGCCTCCAAAATGCAGTTCAAAGTGCTCAAAGCCTTTTCAGAGGAACAGAAAGCATTCATGATGAGAAAACAAGGCAAAGACCTATATACAACTTTCTCTTAATTTCTAAAGCAACTGTTACCGTTTTACTGTTTACAACTCACCTCCTGTCCTATCAAATGATTGGGAGTCTTTTCTATCACCAGAAATCCTAAATTAAATATGAAGGAATCCAGCATCTGAATTTTCCCTGAAAGTATAATTTTACATTATTAAAATTTAAGCTAAAAAAGAATTTGAAGATGATCCCTACACAGCAGGAGGAGGCAAAGACCAAGAGAGTCATGGGAATAGTAAATTTTTCAGGTATTATAATCTATACAAGGAACAAATTACAGCTTACTTCAAATTACAGACACATACACACACACACACACACACACTCATTGCTACAATATACTTGCATTGCACAGATACCCATTGAAGAGAGTAACAGCAGTACAAAGTATGACTATTCCTTGTGAACATCATATCCCAAGCAAAGTTTTTTTGTCTGGAGTAAGCAATGTGCAAAAAGCATTTCCTATAGTTTCTGTCATTTCCAAGGGTTTCTTACATTTGTATGTTTTACAAAAATAAAAATTTTGCATGGTCTTGGGCTGACAGAGAAGCAGGAATTATTTTCTAAAGTGCTGGCCTTTATTAAATAGCATAATCATAGAAACTTCAACTGCTACTCACATTTGTCAGTACATAATAGAAAATAGGGTATGTGGCAATACTTTATACTTATTTAGTATTAAGTAATAAATGTCTTATGGTTTCATTTATGCACAGTACATTACATGAAATTACAATGGTAGGGTATACTGCAGATGTGCAATCTTGATATATGGATTATTTAACATATACTGTGCCTGTATAAAAAAAACAGCCCTGGTGATGGTGCAGTGGTTAAAGCATTTGGCTAACCAAAAGGTCAGCTGTTCAAACTCACTAGCCACCCTGCAGGAAAAAGATGAAGCAGTCTACTTCCATAAAGATTTTACAGCTTTGGACACCCTACAGGGCAGTTCCACTCTGTCCTATAGGATTGGTATGAGTTAGAACCAACGACAGCAGATTTGGTTCTTTTTTTGTGTGTGTGTATATGCATAACCTTCTAATATTGAATTTACTCAATATAAGATGCCATCCATTGTATGACACAGTACTGATTAAGTAACAATTTTTCAAAAGCAAAAAACTACCATATGAAAAAGATTTATCTATGTTAAGATAACCCCAACTTCTGAAATGTCCATATATCTTAAATGCCTCTTTGAATCTATAATACCGTAATTTAAAATATCAAATTCTCTTTAACTTGAGCTACACTGAGCAAATCATCACCCGCTAAAATTTTACCTTTTATACTCTTTAGAAAACAAAGAAAGCATTTCAGTCAGCTCCAAGTTAAATCAGCAACAGCTAAACTTGCTGATTTGCAATGACGAAAGTACTCTCCATATGTGAGTGAACTAAGTAGCCAAATGGTGACCAAAAAAACCAAAGTCACTGCCATCAAGTCAATTCCAACTCCTACCAACCCTATCGGAAGGGGCAGAACTGCCCCATATCATTTCCAAGGCTATAAATCTTTATGGAAGCAGACTGCCTCATCTTTCTCCCACAGAGCAGCTGGTGGGTTCAAACTGCCAACCTTTTGGTTAGCAGCCGAATGCTTTAACCATTGTGCCACCAGAACTCCTTCAAATGGTGACAGGATAAGCTAAATAAAAATGCACCTCAGGCAAACCAAGGCATTCTTTACTATGAAGTTCATTCGACATCATGACTATCATAAGATCGTCAATAAATCCAAATCATAATTTCTAAACCCACTTTACTTCTACATATCATTTAGATTAATATTCTTTTCTCTGTACAAAAATATTCCATTAATAAACAATTATAACTAGCCAAATAAAACACTTACCTTTACTACTTCTCTTGGAAATAATCTAATAAAAGGAAGGAAAAAGTAAAGCTTAAAGTACAAAAACAACATTATAAACTATAGCTTTAATGCATTAATACTGACATTTCTCTAACAGGCAGAAAACTTTACATATGTTGTTGTTGTTCTTATGTGCCGTCAAGTCAGACAGACTCATAGCGACCACTCCTTGGGTTTCCCAGGTGGTATCACTACAGAAGTAGATTGTCCACCATTCCTTCCAAGGAGTGGCTGCTGGGTTTGAACTGCCAGCCTTCTGGTTAGTAGTCAAGTGCCTTAGGCACTACGCTACCAGAGCTCCCAACTTTACATATACAAGACAAAATAAAGTCTATTTGACCTTCAGTTTATTAAAATTAGCATATCACCCTTAATCAAGCAAATATATTTTTATGTATGAAAATGAATCACTTCATTTTTTTCATAACATAATTATACTGGTTACACATATGTGTATATCTCTCTATATATCTACCTACTTCTCAAGGAGCTCTGGTAGCATAGTGCCTAAGGCACTTGACTGCTCACCAGAAGGCTGGCGGTTCAAATCCACCAGCCACTCCTTGGAAGGAAGGTTGGGCAATCCTACTTTCGTAGTGATACTGCCT